TTGTTTTTTTTCCTGGTAAGATATACATGTTCACTACAGTACAAGTTAAAAACCAAATGGCTGGTAGACTTCTGTAAAGCTGAAAGCCCAGGGAATATAAATCACCTCATGCTATTCTCTTACTGAAGTCATCCTTTGTGAGCGCAGAATTGGTAATCTAGCACCCATCTTTAGACCACTGAACTGAAGCTTTCTGATTTTCTCTAATGTTTAAATTGGATAACTCCTAGATCCAAAGTATCATCTTGCTATCATCAGAACTGAAGCAAAGGTAAAAAAACCAACCAAACAAAACTAATCTCCTTTGGTGTTGCTCACTTTCATTTCCTGTCTCCCATCTAATTTGGCTAACAATTTGTCTCCTACTTCATGGCTGAAACATCAGGGACTTAAGTGAGCTGTATTATTTTTGGATATCTTTGTATGTCTTTTCAGTGTGATGAGATGTCAGTAAGTCCTTGTCACAGAATATGCAGCAAGTAGCCGGTTAAGTGTTTTGTCTCTGTAAAAGCCATGTAAATTTGTCACAATCATATTGATATTTAACCCAATTCTGCTTTTCCCTGAATGCATTGCAAAAGGAGCTATGATATATCCAACTTCTGATAAGATGAAGTCTGATTTATCCTTGTCTTGCATCACTGGCTAAAGTATGTTGCATTGTGTTAATATATCAGAGTGCCAGTGTTGTAACTCACATGCAACAATGCTGCAAATGATTACATTGCTGCGAGGCATCCTGAGTGGAACTCACCTCTTGTGTCCAACATGCAAAACCTCTTATTTAATTTGGAGGTATTTAAGCATTTATCTTGTTCGATCTCTCTTGACTTCTGAGAGAAGCTCAGAGGAGTCACAGACAGAAATTGTATTTGTAGTGTGTATTATCCGGACACACAGATCCTTGAGATTCTTGGAACACCTGACCTGTGTCAGTACTAAAGTTCTTAATCTGATTAATGCTGTAGGTAAAATTTCTAGGTGCCTTTACTCAAGAAAAATGAGTAATGTAAATAGTTAGAAGCTTTACTTTCAGCCCGATTGAGCTACTTAGATGAACGCTAACAACTGCAAATAAGCCTTGTTTTGTGCAGGATAGGTTTTAAGAATAGAAGAATATATTAATTTTGCCAGGATAATATGCATGATCTGAACCTCCATCAAAGTCTTGAAGGAAATGAAGAAAGAAGGAACTATGAAGAAAGAAATTAAAAGGGAATTAAGAAGGCCTTGAAGGAAAGAATCAGCTCTTATAAATCACTGCTATTAGGAAGTTGATAGGATTTATTTATAGAGCTTATAGAATAAGTTATATAGAATAGTAAGTTATATATAGAACTTACATAGAACCTATTTATTTATTTATTATCCCATGCCTTCTTTTCATGTTTTATCTTAACTACTAAGCAGAGTGGAAGAAGAAGTTATGCAAAAAAGCTCAGGAGTAGAGCAAAATAAAAAATTAATTAACTTGCAAGATGTGGTGAGGCAGAAGAAACACACAGACTGCATAAGAAGCATGGAACACAACTTGCTTAAATGACCTTCCTTTCAACAGGAGAACAAGTAATGAATAAAACCATCTGAACAGTTTAAGACAAAAACATAGACTATAAACAGACATACCTTTTGTAGGTAATATCAAGTCATTGTGTCAAATTCTGCTTGGGCCAAACAGCTGCACAACAATGCATTTTCTAACATCCAGCTGGCAGAAAAGCCTATGAAATTCGTAGTGCTTAAGTATTGTAACTTGCTTCACATCACAATCATAGCTGACATTAATAGAAACAGCAACTTGTTGAACTGCTACAACTCTACAAATAGGTTTCAGGCTGGAGGACAGTAACTGAGAGGCACAACATGCAACAGACAGAAGCAAAATGTTCAAGGGTAAAGGCTTTAAATCATTCTAACTTCTCAAGTAGGACATAAAACAATATTATTGCAGGAATTATTGAAATTTTCATTGAAACTGAAGGCCCTCGTTTCAGAACCAAGCAGCTGTGTATAATGCCAATGACACTAACAAGTGTGTACTTATTAGATAATTACTGTTCTTAACTGTGCAAAATTACTGGCTAGTATAAAGACATTATAATAGATTGAACAATCTCTTCTTTGTCAATTATCAGCCAAACTCTGATTCTTCTGTGAATAAAGTAAGGCCTACTTATTTATTAAGCAAAATCAACTGAAATTCAAATGGAGATTTTCAAACCTGAAGATCTGCTTTTGTAAATAATTTGATGTTCTGTCATAGACCATGAAAGATGATCCTAGTTCATGACTCCACTGTCAGCTACATCAGTCAGTTATTGCTGAACTGCTGTCCTCCCTTTAAATGCTGCAGTATTCCAGTCACTTAACATGGGCACTTTGAGACGTCTATAAAACAAACAGGACATGTGAATTATATGGTATATTAGAAAGAAGTCAAGGCTGACTGTCAACAGAAAAGCAAGCTTTTCAAATTAGAAGGCTGGTTCAGGTCTTGTTTCCTGCATTTAATTTTGGTCTGTCAAGGACAGGGATGCTCCTAGTTTACATTTTTTTAAGCAGAATAAGGATACAAGTAGATGGCTTATGAAAGCAGTAATGGCAGTAACTATAAAAAAGACTCTATATATCTCTTCTTGAAATAATTTAAGAAAATAGATAAGTGGAGGTAAACCAAAATTTGTGTTTGGTCTCCAACATAAACTGTCTCAGGGGATTCACTTCAGTTCTTAGCATTCAAGTCTTGATCAGCCGTAGACACAAAGTCTTAACAGAAAGCACATGACCTGCTGCTTCTTTTGTCTGCTGCCCATATTACTCCTCCTACCCCTAAATTACTATAAAATGTAAACTTAAAATAAATCTTTTAAGTCTTTAAGTTTAGACAAGAGCTTGAGTTTCCTTTGCTCTCCAGCTCTCCCCAACATTACCCTCAGATGTGCAGGTAGTATCTAGCCATAGTAATCAGGAAATCTGAGACCACAAAAGAAATCTAAGAAAGCCCCTAAAATTCACGATTACTTGGCTTCAAACAAAAAAATTTAGCTCTAGCTCTCCTGAGGTACTGGTACAAAAGTATGTACCTTGAGCTTTCATTTCTGTAACTAAGGATTTTTTTCTTAGTTCTTTGTACCTGATAGGAACTATTTTGCTGCCTGGGCAGTCAGCCAAACATTGTAACTGCAGAACAAATCTTCCTTGATTTGCTTCTATGGAACTTCATGAATATTCTCAGAAATGCCAAGCTGCTTTAATAGCCTTCTGAATTATTAAAAGTTCTCAAGCTAATTCTTTGTTATTAATATTTTGACTTTGTTTTGTGATTGCATTTGGCTGAAGATTATGCTTACAGGTCTTGTCTTTATGCATTGCAGTAGATATTTTTTATCTTGGACAAATACATTATGCATAATTGTTCTCTCTTCCAAACTAATGAGGCTCAACTTTTTCAAAAGCATAATGAAAACCAAGGTTCTAGTTTCCAATTGTTTAAGCCTATTAATTCTTTGGCTCCTTACAAGTTTTTGTACTGCCCTGGCAGATATCCTATTGTGGCTCTTTCCATCTTATCAGTCTCTGAAGAGTGTCTAGCCTTCATCCTTTCCTTCCCATTTCTTTCATTATGTGCTCTTGCCTCTCTCTTATCCTGATTTCTCCCCAGTCTCCTCACATGCTCCCCACTGCCATTCCTTGTGCTGGCATGTCCTTGTTTTCTTGTAGCCTTTGACATGCCCTTGCTTTATCACTTGACTATATTGTGTAGAAAGCTCCTGGAGTGGATGTCTGTCAGCTGTTTGTGCTCTTGCCAGTGGAGTTACAGTTGTATCTACAATCTGCCAGTGAATATCTCCAGGTGAATCACACCTTTGAGTAGAACTGTAGTAACTAATGAGTACTGTCAAGGGCTACGAACAGCTGTGGTATTTAACAAATCACACTGCATGTATACCTAACTTCTTAGTTGGTATAAATTATTAGTTCTGTCAGCAAGCGGTGGAAGATGTAGACCATTTACTTAATTTCACCTTTCTGCAAAAGCTAAAGCTTAAGATATGATTGTGAGGGTTTTTGGTTGTTTGTTTTTTGCTTTGTTTGCTTGTTTCATTTTGTTTTTATTAGGATTTCATCTGCAATATAACCCTGAAGGAGAAGCTCTGAGGATCTTCACTTCAAAAAACTGCCACCAGATGATTTACTCTGGCATGGAGTCATCGTATAAACTATCCTGATCTGCTATAGAATTTAATAGGTCTTGTTACTGTCAAACTCATCACCATGAGTTAGATTAGCATCTATCTCCCAGAGAGCCATATGGACTTCATTTCAAAATGAAAAAGCTTCTGTTTCTCAGGGTCATTTGTTCCAACAGCTAATTACTTTCACTTAAACAAATGGACAAACAAAAACCCTCCAAACAACAGCAAGCCCAGTTCTCTCCTTTCTGACAACAATTTCTTTCACTTAAGTCCATCTTGATTACTTTTTTGCCTTTTCTAGCTTGGCTGGAGATTTTTAGTACTCAGTATCTTGTCTCCAAGAAGGTACATACATAGTTTGGGGTTTTTCAAATCTGTACTTGAAACATTTCTCAGTGGAAAAATGCCCGGGTATTTATTTGTCCCAGACACTGAAATGTCCCAGAGATTCCGAAACTGTCATCCAAATTCTGCTCAGCCTGGAGAGGAAAGGCTCCAGGGAGACCTTAGAGCACCTTCCAGTACCTAAGGGGCTCCGAGAGAGCTGGAAAGGGACTTTTACGAGACCATGTAGCACTAGCACCAGCACGACTGGGTTGCACTGGCAGAAGGCCGATTTGGGCCAGAAACGAGGAAAAAAAAAATTCTTCGAGATGCCGAAGCACCGGCTTAGCCCCGCCGCCCAGCTCCGCCTCTCCCGGCTCTGCCCTGCTCATCTCCGGGCAGAGGGACCGCCTTGCCCGGTACGCATGCGCAGCACCCGCTTGCGAAGCCCGGCAGTGCTCGGCCCGCCCGGGTCCCGGCAGAGGCCTATGCGCATGCGCAGGGCGACGGCGAGGCCAGGCCCTGGAGCGGTGGCGGGGCCGCGCCATGAGCGCCTGGTAGAGGGGCTGCGATGAACCTGCGCGGCTTCTTCCAGGACTTCAACCCCAGGTGAGTACGGCATGGGCAGCGCCGGCCTGGCAGGGTTAGCCCGGGGGCCCGGTCGGGAGCAGCGCTGGGTGTGGGACCCGTCAGCTTTGGAGCGGAGGGCGGCCTCGGTGGCCCTTCCGCACCGCCAGCTCGGGTGGCATTTGGAACACGCCGTTCCCGGCCGGTTTCCTGTCCAGAATCACTGAATCAGTCATGTTGGAAAAGAACTCTGAGATCGTCGAATCCAACCTTCTCAGCTTCCCGGGTGTCGGTGCGTGCTCCTCGCGGCTGGTTCGCATTCAGGGACTGGAAAGCAGATGTAGAGCTCTCGCTTTCCAGCCCCACTTCCAGTCATCTGCTTTGTTATTGTGTAGCTTTCTCAGATTACTCCCAGGCTCTTTCTGGTGTTTCAGTGTTTCACCGCGGTGCTTTGAGGTGCGGGGGCACTGCACACCTCCGCGCAGACTGTGACTGTGAGGCGGAGCCTCCGTATCCGCAGGTGTTAACAACCCTGGGCTACACTGGGAGCACCGGGGAAGGCGAGCTCTTCCTTCGGTCTCCCTTAAAATTAACAATGTGACGGTCACTACAACCTGGGGTTCTGGTGGCTCTTCAAGCAAGTACGGACGTACACCTTTTAAAGAAACTGAGAGAATGTGTTAAATGTTACTGGGTTTTACTAGCTATTTCAAGACCACCGACTAAGGGCCTGCAAATAAGTTGTGGAACGTGGCTTGAGATGCTGAGAGTCCTGGAAAAACCTTGCACGCGAAAGAGGCCTTACATGATGCCAGCTATAGCAGGCTGTGTTCAGTCAATTGTTTAGACAAACAAAAGGGCAACCAAAGCTCCAGGAAATGCATTGTTACAGAGGCTGAAATTAACAATTGAAATATGTGTGGTCAGAGTAATGGAAAAGTAAGAGCAGAAGTCCTAGAAGCTTATAAAACTTTGTTACTGCAGAGCAGTGCTTTCAGCTTATTTGGGTGCTGAGTGATGAATGAGCAAGCCGAATGTTGCACTTTTGCAGGTGTCTTCGTGTTTTGATGCACCTGGAAGACCTGGGGAGCAGTGGTATTTCACTGCTGCATTTATTGAGGAGCCAGGGAAAGTAAAAATTACAGAAATATTGAATATCAAAAAAGGATGACTAGCCGAGGAACTGAGACATCTTTGTTTCTATGAAGTGTGACCAGTTTATATCATCCTATCCCGAGGTAGTTTCATCAAGCATGTGGGGAGATGCTGACACAATAAACCTGTTTATCATTATTAAGGTGCAGATGAGACACTTGTTCTGAGTAGAGACAAAACATCTTGATATCAAACGTAATGATCCTGATTTGATGAGTGCTTTGTTATTTTATATGAGTGAAGGTGGGTGGTTTGAGTCGTGCTGTTGGAGAAGTGGTAGTATTCCTGATTGTTGTTGCATTATTCTGTTGCTTAGGTTATGCATGTTTTAAAATGCATACAATTACTTACTGAAGCAGTGTTAAAACCTAGTTATATGTTTTATAAAGCAGTCTGTGAGCTTCTCGTGGATGGGTGGGAGACTTTTCCCTTCCTGTCCTTTGAAGAAATTGCCTACTGTAGTTATTTTGTCTGATTTTTGGTGGTACAAGAAGGTGGTATGCCACTGCTCAAGTACTCTGGATATGTTTATTCATTCTAAATTGACTATGTTATAAACTGTATCAATGTAGCTATTTTAAATTTTTAAGCGTCATCCTCAATATTCTAGTGAGAAACTTCAGTGTATAATAGGTAACTTTGCTGAAAGTTTAACCTGTTGGGTTTTTCTTTTCTATAATATTGCTTTTTAACTGAATGTGAATTTACAATTCATAATAACTTTTAACCTTTAGTTAAAATTGGTGTGGATAAAATTTCATAAATTATGTAACTCAGTTTTGAATATCAAAAGCTACTTCATTTGATTTGTATGACAGAACACGTTTTTTAAAACATATACAGCTCCTGACTGGATCGTTGTGGAAGGGAGCTATTTATGTCAGTCCATTCACTGAGATTGCTATGCAGAAATGCTTTTGATGTGCTTCCTTGAAGCAATGGTTTTATAAGCGAAAGAGATGACCACTTATACTGTATCTACAATGAAATGGTTGATTCTTTGTAAATAAACTTGACACGTTTTCTTTTAGGAAGTATCCCAGTGAAATTTCAGCTGCAACTGAGGTAGTTGTCCTCTAAAAAGCTAAGGTGAAGTTGCCTGCCTTGATTCCTCACTGGGTTTTTTGTTTGCTTGTTCAACAGCAAATTCCTTATTTATGCCTGCCTGCTGCTCTTCTCTGTGCTGCTTTCTCTACGTCTGGATGACAAAATTCAGTGGAGTTACTGGGCTGTGTTTGCTCCAATATGGCTGTGGAAGTTAATGGTGATTGTTGGTGCCTCAGTGGGAACAGGAGTATGGGCCCGAAACCCACAGTATCGGTAAGCTGATGATGTTTGTTTGGCAAAACAGAGAGAATGTTGTGTCTTGTCAGTCTAGGACAAAATAACTTTGACATCTTTAAATACATCAGTGTTGCATTTTTTGGTAATTTGAGTAGAATGTGAATTCGAAGGTCCCAGGGCAAAAGAAAAATGACCTTAAATGAAATGCAGTAAATGTCTTTTCTATCTGTGGTGAATATTAAATGAAAAATTTTGGTGCACAGGTCTTCTGATACACCCACACGTGGTGTGATTCAGATCTTATATGCTACTTCTAGTAATGGATCTAATGGTGTAGGGAGAAGCTCTGCGTGTGCTGTCATTTTACAGGCATTTTACTTTTAGTAACAGAAAATATCTGTTGCAATACTCTGGCGCTTAGGTAAAAGAAATTCTAGGGAAAGATGTTGATTCAAGGAACGCTGGTGCAGAAATCAAACAGATCATTTTAAATTTAGCTTATTTCCTAACAGCCTGCATGATAGCTTACTGTTGATATACTAGGAAGGAAGTCCTGTTCTATCTGCCCAACTATGGAATCCTTAAAAAATTTTCAAATTGTAAAAATCCCACTGCACCCTTTGAATAAAATACTTCCAATGTGCAACTTTATCGGCAAGAAATCTGATTAGGTCATCAGCAGTGGAGTTTAATGCATATAATATGTATGTTTATTAAAAACAAGTGTTAACATCTGGAGCTCAAGGAAATTTCCTGGGATGTTTGCAGGGTAATGTGCTTTCTTACAGGCAAGTAAATTCTTCCTTATCCTCTCTTCAGAGCAGAAGGAGAAACCTGTGTGGAGTTCAAAGCTATGTTAATTGCAGTAGGCATCCACCTGCTACTGCTTATGTTTGAAGTCCTGGTGTGTGATAGGATTGAAAGAGGAACCCATTTCTGGCTTCTGGTCTTCATGCCACTGTTCTTTGTGTCTCCAGTCTCAGTTGCAGCTTGTGTGTGGGGATTCCGACATGACAGGTCCCTGGAGGTGAGGCTTCATTTTTGATGTGTAAAAGTCATGGCAGTGCAAGACTTAGGGTCAATTCTGTTGCAGTTTGTCTCACAGGAAAGCACAATACAGAAGACTACATCAGTCCAATTAACTGCACTCACCTGTTAATGCATTCACCTGCAAATGGGAGTGAAGTCAGGGTCAGGAAAAATATAACTTTTTCTAGTATCTTCTAGTTTTTTCAACTACCAAATTGCAGCATGTTTTGAACCTGCTTTTTTATTATTTTGTGTTAAAATAACTCACCAGGAATGCTGGAGTATCGGTCAATACCAGACACTTACATGGAAACAACAGAAAAAAATTAAACTGATTCTAAAGCACTATCTCTAGGCAGAATTGAGTTTCCAGAGCCCCACATAATCAGGGCTGAAAATGTCTTAATATCACCATCTGTGTGTTTCATCTTTAAATTGGGAATGTGAAAGGTAGGCAGCAACATTAGAGTTTTATTTTCTGCCTCTATCTTATCTCTAACTCCCTTTGGTTTTGGAAAAACCTTGGAAAGATTCTCAAGGTGTTCCCACAATTGTGATATTTTGCAATAAATTTAGATTTCATATTGATTTTTTAAGTAGTTTTTCATTTTGCTATGTTCTTAAACTACCCCATGACATTTAAAAATCTGATTTTTAGATGAGGCTCAGTTTTTTTCAGGTATTTTAATTTCAAGGGCCTATTTCTTTAATATTAGCATAAGATGAGTTTTTTCACTAGAGAGAAATATTTTTGGTAATTGTTGATGATGGCTGGTAAAGTGATATCCTAAGTTCATTTTGAAACATTTGCCAATAGAATTTTATTTTGCAGGGTTCTATTACCAGTTAACCATTGCTAAAAGTAAAATTTGTGTGGAGGGGCTTGCCATCTACCGGATGATGCTTGATTGCCTATTGATTTACAGATGACTGCACAGCTGCTAAGTACTGGCAGAAGAAAGTGGAATCCATAAAAGGCAACAGCTGTCTCAACTAATTTTTATTTTTTTTTTACTCTTAGTCATCTTCACTTAGTGCTGTTCTGCTTTCTCTTTACTCTGAAGATTTCATTATTTCCCTTTCATGTGCTAGAAACATGAGGGATCTGCCTTTAATCCAGGACATCCGTTTTTGACTTGAGTAATCAAAGTAGTTGTTAGAGTCTATTATTATTTTCATAAGTATTTAATCTGAAATACATTATCTTTTCATTCCTGTTCTGCATCTGATTAGGTGATCAGTTGAGTACGTGCTGGGGTTTTTGTCTGTGTATCATGGTGGGCTCAGAAAAAGCTGCCTTTTATGTGTTACACTCTTTTATAGTCAGTAAAGCACTATTTAAAGTATGTTGAATTTATTAAGTTGTGAGCACTGCAAATATGTGTGCACTTGCCATATAGATCTCATATGTTAACTTGATTCTAAAAATTATTTACAGTCTGATTTTTATATTTTTCTCTGTCTTTGCTCTTGCATCTTTCTGGTTGCTTGGTCTTATGCTTGTGTTGAGGGGGCGGGTTTAGTGTTTTATTCTTTTAAGAAAGCCAGTGGTAAAACATTTTAAATCTACTTTTTCAGTTTTTTCAAAGTAATTAGTAGTTGAACAGTGGAGACTTTGGTGTGGTCCTGGAAGCTGGCAAGTGCCTGATGCCTGTTAGTTTTTTGACTCCCTGCAAAGATCACAGATAACAGTCTACACAATTGTGTGTTAGTGAAAAGTAGTATGTAGTGTCTGCCTTCAGAGAAGTATTACATTTTAAAAAGGCCTTACATAACTGCATGCTTTTTATTAAAATGAGTAATGTTTCTAGCTTGCATTCAAAAGCTTCAGTTAGACTTTTCAGATAATAATTCTGTGGTCTCTGAAAATCCTACCCATTGTAGGGCTGTCCATAAGCTTTGGAAATGGAATCTTGCCAAGTGTGATGGTGTTTCATTGTCTCGCTTTGTTCAAGCTAGACACAGACCTTTTAAAAAACAAGTATAATGAAGGACTGTTTCTCATAGTGGCAAGAAGGACTCATCAAAACCTTTCACTAACTTAATGACATAATTTTAATGAGAAGTATTGCTTTTCTCCAGTGCCACAAAACCCATGTCTTCAGTGTCATTTAAAGTATCTCTCAATTATACAGTAAATTATTTGAATTTGGATGTAATATTCCATTTATTTATTTTTTTCCCCTAGATAGAGCTTTTAATTTTAATTAGACCTTTAATTTGGACTGTTGGTAATTCTGCCCATTACCGAAACTACAAAATATTCCAGAAGATTAATTTTGCTACTTTTAAGTTGAAGGTCTTTTTATTACTTAATTTAATTCTAGCGGAATTTCTTGTATGAAAAGTACATTGTTTTCTGATGCCTTGCTTTTTTCATTCTGATTAGTTTGGCTTTTCTTATTTCTCTAAGTACTCTAAGTGCCTTTTTTTTTTAATACTAGGATCTTGAAAACAGTGGGCTCTACATTATGTGATTAGGATCACACCCACATAAATTTAGGGATATTTAGTAAGAGAAAATGTAAATGCAAATAAATTTTCATATTTCACTGATAAGAATGGGGTCAGAGAAGTGCTTTGACAGGTTCATTGGTTATTCTGGAAGTAAGTTTATCATACTAAGAGTTAACTAATGTTTTTTTCTTTTTCTAGCTGGAAATCTTGTGTTCAGTCAATATTCTGCAGTTCATATTTATTGCACTCAGACTAGATGAGATCATCAGATGGCCATGGCTTGTATGTAACCAGTGTTGTCTTCTTATCTTTGTTTAATTGTTGAATTTCATTAAGGTGTTTATTCTAGGGAATGGTTAATATGTGATCAGTCCATGATCCCATTTTTACTTGCTTAGCAATCCTTCCCTGAAGGTCTGGCATTTCATTCAGTGGTCATGGGAATCAGCGGCTGTTCTTTGGACACATCATCCTCTGAGGGATGAGGAATGTGCCATCAACTGCAGTTAATCTCTGAGCAGCAGTTGAAAGGGAAATTGTCACCCAAAGTTCCCAATGGGAACACTAAACAAGCCATGAAAATGATTGGTGAGTTAGAGAATGTATTGGTAAATAACTAGTTTTATTTGTTGTGTTACCGTGAATGTAAATGAAGTGCAAGTAGTCACTGTCAAAACTGCTGCGATGTCCTGTCCCAAGTGCCTTTAGAGCACTTTAAAGCTCTGTTTCTGTGTCTGGCTTTTTGTAAACTACCATAAAACTGACACTGGCATGGTTATGTCTGTCCTTTCTATTGTAAAAAAAAAAAAAAAAACTTGAGAAAAGATTGAAACCTTTTAAAATAAGGTATCCACTGTAGGGAGTACTTGCGAAAAATCAGTTTCAAGTACAGTTTGAACCCACACAAAATCACAGAAGTCTTACCAAAGTTGAGCTACATTGCCTTCATTTTAAATCGTTTCAACTTGATCAGGTTTAGAAGGTTGTCAAACCCCTGAACTGATTTCTCTTGAAAAAACATATGAGTTTTATGCCCTTCTGTTAGATGTTATATTAGTTAAGACCTAATTTTCTTGTTTAGGCTTAATACGTAGGCTCTCTTTATTTAAAAAAACCAAACTGAAACAAATAAAAAGTGTCTTTCTTTCAGGTTGTCTGTGTTCCACTGTGGATCTTGATGTCCTTCCTGTGCCTCGTTGTCCTCTATTACATCGTGTGGTCTGTGCTGTTCCTGCGCTCCATGGATGTGATTGCTGAGCAGAGGAGGACACACATAACCATGGCTGTCAGCTGGATGACAATTGTAGTTCCACTGCTCACATTTGAGGTAGGAAAAGCCATAATGAGTTTGATGTGTCTTGTTCTTTTTTTCAGAAAGTAATGAATGATGGTTTTTGAACTTACTGAAATGATAATGCTGCTCTTTGTTTTAGAATAAAATATTAACAGCAAATATGAAACACAAATGAGAACTCTCTTGTCTTGGTTTGAAAGACAGGTGTCTGCTAAGAAAGGCAGGAGCCATGAAATGGAAAATGTAAACCCCGTCCCTCCAAATTATTATAATTTCGAAATGAAGGGGCTCTCAGGCAAAGATATAGGAATAGGAATAACAGTTCTTTACTAGGAAAAATTAAAATAGAAATGCGGTATTACAAAAAACAAACCCAAAACACTGACAGTCAGGATACAACCTGACGCCCTGTCAGTCAGGGTGTTGGTAGCAGCGCAATTAAATGGTGGCTGCAGTCCTCCTGGATGACAGATGTGGTTCAGCAGAAGCAGTGGTCCTATAGAAGGGTGCAGTTTTCCTCTGGAATCCAGTAGAAAAAGGCTGCCTTGGTGTTCCAAATCTCAGTTTTTATCTAGGTAGGAAATGCTTGGCTCCTCCCCCTAGGTGGAGCATCTCCCAATGGGAGGATGTAATTTTATCAGTCAGACTCAATGGCGTATTAACAGATAGTATCTCCCTGGAGAAAGAACGGGCTGTGGAAAAGATAAAGAACACTGCCCCACCTGGTTTTAGCAGATGGCGCATTAGCAGAGGGTATCTCTCACAGAGAGAAGGATCACTGCCCTACCTGGTTTCAACACATGGTGATAGAATACATGCTTTTGGTCACATCCTGTATTGCAACCTAAGACATCTATGTTCCTTTAAAGTTTCTTGGGTAAAATCTGCATCACATTGGAACTACAACAACATGCTGCTGTGAAGGCCATTTTTTCCTCACAGATGTGTGAAATTAAAGATTTCAGATCCAGCATATGCTTTAAGCAGTTTGAAAATGAGTATTTCAATCAAACTGACATAATTTTTTTTTGCCATTTAGATCTTGCTAGTACACAGACTGGATGGGCATAATACTTTTTCTTTCATACCCATATTTGTTCCTCTCTGGCTTTCACTGATAACATTAATGGCAACAACATTTGGACAAAAAGGAGGCAATCACTGTAAGTATTTCAGAATCCTGGAAACAGATTTAAAATCAATGTATTTTATTAAGATGTGTATTTTTAAGAAGGGCTTTTCTGTTGCTAATGTTTTCAAGCAGTTGTAGTAAGGTTTCAGTGCTTACAGTGTCCTCCCCTGTGGCACTGTTTACTTTGGTTGAGATGCTAACTCTTTTGTGTTCCTTCTCTGTACTGATGTGACCTGACACTGTGTAATGTGTGAAACGAAACGGATTCTTGCTAGGGTAGTGTAACTGTAATATTTGTAGATGGATATACTCGCAGGCATGCATTTGCAGACATGGAACTGTGCAAATGCTTGTACAGACTGTTTTTCTGTATATAACCTAAATTATAATATTATGATAGGCATAAGGAACGCTGAGAAGCAGCATTAACAAATTGTATTTATATGCAAATATAAATCAAGAGACAATCAAGAGACCTTAAATAGTCTGTCTACTTAATTAAGTGTTCATTCTGTTAATAATGCAAAATGATCTGGTTTCTTTTAGGGTGGTTTGGAATTCGCAAAGACTTTTGCCAGTTCCTGCTTGAAATTTTCCCGTTTTTGAGAGAATATGGAAATATCTCTTATGATCTTCATCATGAAGATAATGAAGAGACAGAAGAAATGCCACTGCCCGAACCACCAAAAATTGCACCAATGTTTCGAAAAAAGACTGGAGTGGTCATTACACAGAGTCCTGGAAAATATGTGATTCCACCTCCCAAGTTAAACATTGATATGCCAGATTAAGATGACAGTAGCATATTAAACCTGAATTGGTCATCAGCAGACAGATGTATTTCATCTCATGCCTTGTCCCAATTCCTTTAAAATAGGTATTGCTGAATCAGTGGCTTGGATTACACAGATCAGAAATCTTGAAGATAATCTGAATGCTTTTCCAGGAATATGTGGTTGTCTAATTTGTGAACCTTCCTAACAGGTTGGTTGCACGCTTGCCTGTATAGTATTTATATGAACATTTTTAGCAGTGTAATATATTGTTTAAAAGTCCTGTTGTGTACAGTGTAAGTATTATCCAAAAGTATTTTTTTAAAAACCCTCTATGAAATGCCTGTGCTATTCCAGGTGTCTTTTAGGTCCTAAATATACACTTGTTTTCATGTTTCTCTTAAATGCTTTGGGATGCCTTAGCATAGTACCTCTTTACTTCTTTCTCTGTTCAGCCACAATCATTGTCTCAACCACAGAGGCACAAGGGTGTTGAACTTCTGAGGTAATACTGGAAAGCTTTTTTTTGGGGGGAAAGTAGAATATACAGTGACTTACATTATGCTCTTGAGTAAGCTATGTAAGTTTTCATGTACGTATTTCAACTTGTGCTGGCTTGGGAGTTACATGTTGTTTTTGTTGCTTTTCAGTTTCATGTTTTGATTCTTCCTGAGCAGCATGTACCATTCTCCCATTAGGCTGGCTGTTTAATAAGCTGTTCCTCCTTGCATTGTGTGGTCTATGCCAGAAACATTTGTGGTAGGTTTCACAGCTGTTAGTTAGCTGGTATAAATATCATAGCTTGGTTTTTGTTACCAACTTTGTGTTGGGTCAGTGTAAATGATTAAACTTTTCAAGATAGGATCTTGTTGGTGTTGGCATAGCATTTTTTTGTCTGAAGACCTGCTTTGACAGTGTGCCTTGGAGCTAGAGGTGCTTTGGAGAAATGGAGTCTATGAAATGTGTAGTCCTGTAGTTTATAAAAACAGGTGTCTCATGTTCCCCAACCCTTGCAGCTGCTCTCTGTGTTTAGGTAACCCACAGTTTAGATAGCTTAAATTCCATGAGTCTCATTTCTTTAGTGTTAGCATGGCAGTAAGCGCAGAGTGTATAGACATTTCTGCATGTGTTCCTGGTGGATGCCTGGAAAACTTGGATGCAGCACTTCCATTTCTGATGCTCCAGATCTCCCCTTTCTTGCTGTGGACCAGCTACTGCCTGAAACCCAATCCAGCACTATCCCATCCCATCCCACAGTTTAAATTTTGTTGCAGTTTTATTTATATATATTTTATTTATATTTATTACATTCTGGTTCAAAAATCTAACATCACTGGGATTGTTACTGGATGTCAATTTGCCTGCACACCACCACGGAAAAGAAAATCAGATGCTGAGCTTGCATGAGAAACCACTTCCCAGGAGGATAGCAGTCCGTGCACAGCAGGTCCAAGGGAGAACAGGCACAGCTCTGCACTGGGGAAGGCCTCACCTGCCAAGCACAGTGCCAAGGCAGGTCTTCAAGGCAGTGGTGGCCAAACTCCATATGCTGCTGCTCAGACAAACACAGAGGAGCTCCAGCCTCTGTGCCTTCCCTTCAGCCAAGGCACAGCAGTGCCTGGCTGGGGCTAGGGAGCTGCTCTGCTTCACACAGCCCTGCCCTGCAGTCACTTCCCACCCCTCCAGCTGTGCTGGCAGCAGCTTGGTCTGTGTTGAGGTCACGCCCAGCTCCACATGTGGTTCAGTGAACTGCAAGCACTGGTCCTGGGTGCCAGCACTGGGGGGGTGCGAGGTACCGTGCACAGCTCTGGTAGAAGTGCTGTAGTCTAAGGGAACAGTTTTCTAAGTGCTCCAGTAAAGTGTCTGAGTACAAAGGTTCTGCTACTTGTCCTGTTCTGTTTTTAGAGCTGTGCCTAGGTGTGGCACGAAAAACTTTCTGGATTTGCTCCAGAAAATCAAAAGGATTTTCACTGTAATGTAGGGTGTGAATTTTGAAAAACTTGAGAGTGCCAAAATTTAATGTCTCTTACTTGTATTTCTTCACAGTTGTCTTGAATTCAGTATTAGATTTTCAAAAATAACTAGTATTTTTCATCTTAAATAAGAGAAAAAAATGTAATGCTCAATTTCATTTTGTACAAGCACCTTCTCAAAATAACCTTTCTGCAACGTCTGTCAGGTCACAGAGCTATATCTATCATATGCACATCTTGTGTGCCTGAGGTATGAATGAAGAGTCTGTCCTTAAAGAAGGACAAGGTGTGGTCTGGGACAGATGTCCTATTAATTGTGGCAGCTGGCTTTTAGGTACCATCTTCCTATAACCAGAGATGCAGGAATCAAAAGATCATTTTAATTTACATTTAAATTGGCACACAATCCATAACTGTGCATTTAAAAATGGCATTTACTTAGTTGTTTATACAGGAAAAGTCTAGAAAGACAGTAATTCCTTGTAATAGACATAAAGACACATCTTGTATGTTTTGCCTCAAACAAGCAGTTCTTCAAATGTATTTGCCATTTTAAATAGTTTTGGAATAGAGTCCTAACAAGATGCTCATGTAATTCACAAGTCATCATCTTAAATACAAGTCTGCATTTAGGCAGGAACAATAATAGTAAGGGGCAACACCTACAATTCTGAAGGAATCAGTTCTTCAGGGATGTCCACCTGCCACACCCCTGTTCTCCCTCTGGCAGGAATTGGTTCCAGGAGCCACCTGGGATTTGAAACAACAGTCAAGAATTTCTGTTCTAGATTACTGAGGACAGCTTTGTTTTCCAGCACCAGAATCTCTTCAGGAGGCAGGTTTTCTGGATATAGTGATGTCTCTCCAATGTCAATTAATCCTGTATTTTACAATTAAAATAAAAAAATTAGTTGCCAGCTTGAGCTAGAGAAAAGTTTTAGACTAGTAGCCCTCCCTGAGAACACAGAGAATAGCCAGTTTGTTACTAGAAGAGCACAGTCAGAGGGAGGCATACCTCCCACCTGTGCTGTTTGCCACAAAAGTCTATGTGCCTCAACTCGAGTGGAGAAAAGGGAGAGGGCACAGTTAAAATCATCACAAACCAGTGATGCAGAACTCCTTGAAAAGCAGCCTGCATCTAACAAGACACAGCTGCTACCAAAACTCCTGAGCTACATTTGGCCTTGGACCAGCTTCTGTAAAGTATAAAACTTTATCTGCTCCTATCAAGCCACTATCCTATTAACATTTTTAAATCATTAAACTATTTTGAAATTCCTACCTACTCCACAGTTAAGCACACAATTTATGTTAAGGCTGCAACTCTACATATTAGGTAGGACCTACAGTTTTCAGCACTGTAGAACCACAGTGCTGTTCAGTGTATGTGACTTAATTTATTTGTTGTGCAGGAATAGCCAGAAGTATTCAAATGACAATGAAAGATGGTGTAACAAAGATACCTACAACAAAATGAGCACTAGATAAAACCTTTGTAAGTGTATATGTCAGCACAATTTATGCAGTGAAACATCACTGCCTCTGCACTGTGTGTTACAGTAACAAACTTCTTCACTGCCCAAATAGCAAAAGCGACAGAGGGGGGTTTGTAAAACTGAAATAGGATTTCTTTATGTAATTATTTATGTGTACTCTAAAAATGACATGCAAAGCACTGCAAGATCGTGAATTCGCTTGACCACGAGTACTGCAAAATGGTTTCAGTAAGAGTTCCTAAGCCCCCAATGCAAGTGTGGAATTGGCATGTATTATGCTGAAACATACAGGAGTTGAAATAGACCCTTCCCATCACAACTTATGCTCCACTCCCTTCCAAGTGTTAAAGAAATGTCATAATGAGTGCAAACACATAAAGCAGATGTGTATTTGAGTCGACTGTTAAGGAACCAAAAGTTTGCTTAGAAAATAAAACCCAAGGATGCTTACCTGCAATAACTCCTCTGCCAAATTTTTCCCCTTCATCCAACAAATCTTGCAGTTGTTTCGGTGTCATGCCGAACCTATTCAGAAGAATTTCTCTCCATGTTTCGTCTTCCCAGTCCTTAACAGCTATATGAATAGCAATGGTGCAGTTCTTGTAGCCTGCTAGCAAAGGACGCCACCGAGTCTCTACTGTTTTGACTCGGTTTAGAAGCAACCCTGCGTAGGGCTGTCGGAAGGAAAGGCAACCGAATTTCATCGTGCTCCTCGCGACAGAAGCTGTTTATTTCCTGTAAACACACATACGCCGGGGAATCAGTCTCCACAAGCGGCCGATGCTGGTGACAAGCTGCCGGCTCTGGAGCCGCGGAGCCGCGCGGCGGGAACTGCGCGGCCTCCCAAGGGGCGGGCCCGCCTCAGCGGGCCCCCTCTACGGCGCCGCGCCCCGGGCTCGAACCGCACCGCGCCGTCCGAACAGCCGCCCGAACGGCCGCGGCCGGGTACAGCCTCCGTCCCGGCCGCCGCCTCACGGAGCTGCCGGGGACCTGCGGCCCGGCTCGGCCCGGCTCGGCCCGGCCTGGGCCCCTGCACTGGCTCCCGCAGGGAGCGCTCCGCCGCCGCGCGGCCATGGAGGCCCCGGGGCCGCCGCCTACCTGCGCCGCCAGCTCCGCGCCCTCCGCTCTGCTGGCCCGCCCGGACGGTGGGTGCCGGGAGCGGGTCGGGGCGGGGCGGGAAGCTGGCGGCACCGCGGGCGGAGGCGCGCGGCAGCGCCGCTCCTGTGGGTTCTAGGCCGTCCCGGGAGGAGTAATATGGTTGTGGCCTGGTCCTCGGCCAACCGGAGTGGCGGGTGCCCGGCAGTGGGTACAAAGGGAAGGAGCTGCGTGTGCCCTGCCCGAGGGGTGTCCGGTGAGACACGGCCAGGTTTAGGCGATAGGGTTGGTGCCCTACTGCTCCTGGAGCTCCGTGGCCGCAGCACCTCGGGAGTACCTGTCCGGCTCTGCATCCGGGCGGTGTAGGGCTTTCGCGCCTCTGGTCATAACTAAAAATCATTTAGCACATGAAAATTCAGTGGGGCCCGGCTCACCTCCTTCCTTTCTTTAACCACTAGTTTGTTTGGGACAGAATTTCCCAAAGTGCTCTCATCCAGCCCTACACTCTGAGGACAGTCTTACCTGTGTCCTGTTGTATGCAATTGCGTGCTTTGCATCAAGGCTTTGCCCTTCTAATATAAGCGTTTTGAACAACGTAGTTACTGTTTGACAAGTTTTTTGTGGGCTGGTCCCACTGTGACCCCTGGCAACAGGGAGCAAATGTGTGGGGGCCTAGTTAACACAGTAAAATCAGAGACCTTATAGGGAAAATATGATTTGGAAAAGGAGAGGGTTAGAATAGATGTATAGTCCCACTATATGTGTTCAGTTTTAAGGGGCAGCCTCTATGTATTTTATGTCAGTGAACACGTTGTTTGTACATTGTAATTTCCAAGGTATACAAATCAAAGTGACCTTATTAAGGCAGACAGTGATACTAAAAATGGCCACTGACATAGCAAGTTGAAGAGTTGAGTCCTGCCTGAATTTCTGCAGGTACAGAAGATAAAAAACTACGGATGTATCTATGTCCAAATAAAAATCATGGGAGATTCATCTCTCCTGTAAAGCCATATCTTTCAGCTGAGGGCGGTAAATACAACAAGATTTTGGGGAGCTTTGCCATGCACACAGCATTTGAGACAAAGGGGGGAGAGAATGTTGACCAAAAGGAGTGAGTTAGGAGAGACAGGCAAAAAGAAAAAGAAAAGTGTCAGAGAAGGAGAAGAAAAAACGGTAGTATTTACAAAGGGGAAAAGTCATGATGACTTTTCTTTTGTCTTTTGCTCTGTTGAAACACATTTCTTAACCATGAGAAATCTCAAAGCTACTTTAACAATTCCAGGAAAGAGTAAAGTGATCTGCTGGAATTACATTGAGAAAGAGAGATGGATCCTATACTTAGAAGGGCAGAGGAACTTCACGTAGCAAAAGGTAAGACTAGTGATGGGGTTTTTTCAGGTCTCTGACTTTCTGAATAATGGGTATTTATTGGTAAAACCTTACAAGTAATCTTAGTATTTTGTAACTGTAGAGTTTAAGTGATTCTTTTCTGTTGATAAGCCCTTCACATAATTTTATGAGAGCCAGTTTTGGCATATGCTTTAAATATACCTTCAGTGAATATTGTATATTTTGAAGTATTTTATGGCTTATAGAATTTAACTGTTGAGACTTAGTTTTACTTACTACCATTTTCTGAAATTTCTGCTTCATTATCCCGTTTTTCCCCTGGATATTTCCAATATCTTGTTCAAAATGTTTCAGATGGAGTCATTCCAGTCCTTTATATAACATCGTAATAAGAAGAGAAATTAATAGATGATGTGAATTTAAATTCATTATAGTTTTTACTGGGTCATTACTTTAAATGCATTTTTTGCTGTAAGCTGTTCTCATCTTCCTATAAGAAAATGGAAGCACGAGAACCTGTTGCATGGTTAGCATGAGAACCTGTTGAATCTGTTTAGAGTAGCAAGTGAATAATGAGCATTCATGGGGGGGGGTTGCCATTTGCTTTTAGTGTTTTTCCACTGTATAATTGTATTTTATGTGGGGGTTATTTATTTTGGGGAAAATATGGTCCAGAATATTTTCATGTTTTGAAAGTAGCTTTGTTTTCATTCATGTATCTTAAAGCACGATTTTGTATCATGTGTTTCATCACACAAATAAAATAGGATTTTTTTTCTTGATCTAAGGAAAAATCTCCAGGGTACTTAAAATCTCAAGTCCGACAGCTCTAAATAAATTATAAATAGCAGAAGATACATGTGCTACTACCAAAGGTGAATAAAAATATTGAAAATCTCCTCTCACAAAACTGTCTTACTTGGTTTCTAGGAAACCTTGTTCCATATACTGGAGCACTCACCAGAAGACATAAAAATTTCTAGCAGCATGTAAATAAGGCTCTGTAATTAACAATCCTTGTGTATTGTTCAGCCTTTTGTGTGATGAGTGGTAAAGGGACTTTAGTTGGTTTTCTCAGGATTGAAGGTAATGATTCAAAGTGTATAGTAGTGAATATGAAAAAGAAAATTCATTCTGATCTTAACCGATGATAAACTTACGCTTGGCATCTTAGATGCACTTTATTGTTTTCTGGTCACTGTGGCTTTCACATGCTAACACTAACCCCAGATTATCTCCTCTTGGTGCAGTACCTCACATATAATCTAACCAACAGGAGATTCTTCAACTTGTGTCTGTGCTCCCGTAACTTCTACTTCATTTCAGTGCTTCTGCATTAGCATTTCTTAGGGTGTCTCTAAGTTCAATTTTGATAGAATAAATACTACATAGTTCCCATTACAGCATGTGTTACTGCTTTCTGTGGAGCTAAAACAATCCTTGGTACATAATTTATAAGGACTCAGGTCTGATCTCATCTAGATAGCCAAGCATTGCTTTGTTCCTTGTCACATTCAGTTAGTAGCTGATTTTACAGGGTTTAGTACACAGCAGTAGGGGCTGGGATATCTTGTGTCAAAATCAGGTCAAGGGACTTGATCAGCTACAGTTCATTTCCAGAGTGGGGACTGATGTGGTGCAGTATGTTCAGAAAACTGGGGTTGAAAACTAAAATTTCAGCAGTTAATAAACCCATGAAATATAATTCAATACAATTACTTGTATTGAATGGTCACTATTTAATAGCTGACATTCCTGAGAATCTGTGCTGTGTTGATATTTGAACATGCACTGCATTTTACTGCATTTTAGAACTTCAAACAATGTGAAATGTGCTGCTGCAACTGCATTATTTTGGCAGTAATTCCATCTTAAGGACTTCTACCAGCCTTCTACTTTTTGCCCCCTTTGCCTTAATTTTACTCAGTTTCTAACATTATAGTTAAAATAATACTTATATTTTGCCATGCTGTTTTATTTTACTGTATTTTATGCTGTATCTCATTTTACTTATCAAAAGAAATTATGACTGTCTTAAGCTTAGTTTAGTAAACCTGTCTCCAGTTTCTTTAGATGATTTTCTTATTACCAGATTTGTTGCAACAATTTTCTGAATGAGTCTCTGAAAATTTCAGTCTTTGGCTCTTATTCTTTTTACACACATCTCGCCCCCCATACCCTGCAAGTAGAGCGTATTTCTAGTTTGTAACATATCACTGACATCACTATCCTTGTCACAGATTTGGGAATTATAAATAGTCATAGTCATAGATTGTTGGTGACTTTCAGGAAAGTTTTCCTGTGTCTGAGAAATATTTTAAAGAGGTCAGGCCAAAGCATTAAGTATTCTTTTCAGTACTCTACAATGTGCTAGACACCCCTAGACCCCTACTGCCCCCCACACGTGGAATGTCCTGCTTGTCCCTTTTCCATTAGATCTTGTTGCTGAATTTTCCATATGATTGCGCTGATGTTAGCATGAGATAGGTCAGGTCTGCTGGTGACTTTCATCTGCTAAGTGATTTATTTCTAAACTTATAAATGGCTAATATTTAGAGACCATCCTGGTCCTTCTGCTTTTCTGAAGGTTAAAAGAAGGTTGCAGCTATAGGCTGAGCCCCAAGCTAGCCGATTTAGAAACAACTTGTGTAGCTCTCCATAGCAATCTTCTTTGATTGAGATACGTGGCTTTGTGCTGAGGTAATGTGCAGGGGAAGGAGAGCTTGTAGTAATGAGCTCTCTTCCCCTGCTGATTATTATGTCCAATCCACAGCCGACTGCTGTATGTGGCTGCATAAAACATTTTAAAAGATAAGATTGTTCAACACCTTTTTATGGCCATAAGTCCTCAACCAGGGTTCATGCCCTCTGAAATGCTGAAAACTTTTTAAAAATTAATCTGCACTCCTGCTATAAAGGGCTTAGGTATCTTTACTTCATCTAATTGATGCTGTCTGTCTGTCTAGCTTTATAACTATTTGGGGTTTTAATCTCTTTTAAGATGCAAGGTGTTACTGCAAGTTTTAAAATATCATAAAGAGCTGTTTCTAACAGATAAGTAATAGAATATTTGCACTACTAAACTAAAATATTAATTACTTCCTTTGTTTCCTTAGTAAAATCTGCTTTATGTGACAGTTAAAATTCTTGGAAGTTCTTCCACAAATTCTACTATGTTTGGCTAAGTACCTTTTCATTCCATCTAATCAGGAGACACTTAAAAAAGAAAATTATTTGCCTCACCATTTTGAATTAACCACAAAAGATACTCCTGACAAGAGCTGTAAGAAAAATAATTCATGTGCAGAAGCAATTGCTTCTTCTGACTGGTTCTGTATATTCTTTTATGACTAAAACATTACTTTGA